CATTTCACAGACAATTTAAAATGCCCAATAATGTGCGTTCTTCCCTCTATCGTCTCTTCAATGACACTTTGCAATTTCAGGTAAAGCAATGTGTAATTGGCCTGGAAACCCACGATTCTAAACCGTCTCGATCCATTGCCCATTTGCAAGCATTCTTTCAATTCAAAAATAGGGTGTTTTTTACCAACGTTAGGAAGCATATTGTTGAGAACTATGGAAACGCTGTTACATCCCTCGATGTAGGTGGAGTGGGTACGGTAAAGACGTTTCGTGCGTACTGTTCCAAGGATGATCCAGACCGCTTCAACATAGGCCCCCACAAAAACCTGCACCAATTTGCCAGGAACATTATATCTCTAAAGGATCAGCAAGTATTCAAATATACATCGAAAGTAGCCTTTCAATCTCGTAACTACTTGAATTACACGGAAAAGTGTCATGAAGAGCTTAGGCTCATGTCCGTGCCCGACTTTGCTGGGTTCCAATACCAAAAGCTCCCCCCAAATGGGTGGTGCAAAGAACTAGTTGATCATATTAAATACTTTGTCCAGAATCCCAACAATGAAAGTGTGAGACAGCGGCGACAGCTGGTAAAGATGTTGACCTTCAATTGTCAATTGTAGAGGGGGTTATTGAGAGGAAGAAAATTGAATATGATTTGAATCTTTACATACCTAATGAGTTGTTGGAACCTGTTATTGAAGTAATTGATGATGAAGTCATATCATCGCCCGCTAGGACCATTGCCTTGTCCGAGGCTTTGTCAATATCCCTGTGTCTTGTTGGGTCTGTTGTGGATAGCCCTGATTCGCCAGCAGTCACTGTTCGTCAGGCGGCTTTCAATCAACTCGAAGAAGCAAGGTCCAAGCGTGGCAAGCATCGCAGAAGGTTGGCGTTTGATTCACCAGGCCCTACTCCTAGTTGCTCATCCATGCCCAGTAATCAATTTGCTACTCCAAAAAGGCCAGCAAGCAGAGATGGGAAGTTACGTTCCATTCAACCGGCTACACCTTTGCCCTCTAACTGTCCGTCCCCGTCCACATGTGTTCTCAATACTAATGTCCAAACACCCCCTAACTCTTCTGTCCGAACACCGATAATGTCTCACTCCACCCATCTACTACTTACTCCTTTCAATGTAACTCTTGACATAAATTCTTCATTCACAACCACACCAGTATGCCCAATCCGCTATACTCCTAATTATATACAAATTATGCAAATTACCTCTCCCCAGTTCAGCGATTCTTCGGATGTATCCTCAGACCGTTCTGTTATATCAAGGCCCTGCACCTCAAACAATTGCTAGTGGTCCTGAATCATTGAATGTCACTGTCCCACCCAATACAATTGTGTCTATGTACCCGTCCCTTTCAACTTCCGCCTCAAACACCATCCATGATTCTGGTGTTTTTACCACTCCCCTAACCCTTGACCCGGCCTCTGTGGAACCTGCATCAAGTTCTGCTGTTGAAGACTCTGCTGGCGGGCAATAGTGGTGTGTAATTACCTAACCATTAAGTTTCATAGGATATTAACCAAACCCGTAATTAACAATTAACAATTATTAAATATTTTAAATTTAAATCGAATATGAATTTAATTGGTCGACTGTCAATGAATAGTTTAAAGTCAGTTTAGAATTCATTTATAATGCAATGCTAATTTATTGTTCTGCCTTTGCATTAATTGTTCTCATCAAAATTTTATTTCATGCTATTACTTATTCATAGGAAAATGGCTCTCATATCATATAACATATGTTTTCAGCCACACCGATGGGCAGCGACCCCTCATATTTGCGGCAACTTGAGCGGGACATCGTATTTCAGACAACTGGCACCAGTCCAACAGCCGAACTGACATACACAGGTGAGCGTTGTCATTAGTTTATTTTAATTATTATTTACTGCAAGAAATACTTTTTGGTTAATTGAGCGGAGCGAGCGAAGCGAGCGAAGCTCTTTGGGATCAACTTCAATGCAAACAATATAACACCATCACTCAATAACGGCTGAACACATTTCAGCCAAACTTAACAAGACTACTTAGACTAATAATGAGATGGTTTATAAACAAACAAATTTCAATTAGATAATGCTAATGCAATTTAAAACGAACTTAAAATTTAAAATTTTTAACATTGGGCTTATGGGACTAAAGTAGCTATGACAGTTTTTTTGTTTACAAGAAAAATGTAAACAAGAGAATCATAAGGTATTTCTGAACTTTCTATACTTTTCTTTTAAACGATTTTAAACCATTCCTATGATTTTAATAAACAAGAAAATGCCGTTAAAACATTTTTTTAAGGCACGGAATTCACTGAAAATCGAGAAAATATACTGAACTACTTTCTCAATGCGCGGAGCATAAACAAGGAGCGGAGGGATACGGACCGGTAACTACTTTCTTGGGAACCTATTTGTGTTGCCAGCTGATTAGAAACAGCCAATGTTAGAAATCAGGATTTAATAAGCGATATATCGAACCGCATCGAAATCGGTATCTAATCCGATAATACATCATAGGTTATATTATGTTTAATTACATCGACGGTACAGTAAGTTATTACACTTATTGATAAAACGCAGATTGAACACTGATTTAGGCATGTGGGGAGGTAGGTCGGGGTTTATGAGTATTCGTGACTACATTAACTACTGTAATATTTTCCTGGTCAAAACTACCATAATGCACTTCTCGAAGAGGTAAATTTGAGTTATTATAATTTTAATCTTTAAAACCAGCATTAGTAAATAAATCTATTGACCTTTTTACATTTAGTTACTTATACAAATATCAAATCACGTTTGTTCCGCTCAACTGGCTTTCACCTCTCTGAAAGCAACCCTAGTTAGGGTGGGATTTGTTGTTTATCGGCTCTAACAATGGTTAATGGGTTCATTGAAACTGGGCCGTTGTACAGGTAATTTTATTGAGGGAATTAGGTTTCTATTCTGTCTGGCATTAAGTATTGAATCATTTGGAAAATATATAAACCTTCATGATAATGCTGTTGCTGTAAAGTATTGGTTTTATATGCTGTTGCTGTAAAGTATTGGTTTTATAGTGTTCAATTAGTGTTGTCACGGTGATAAAGTTAGGGTTAATAGTTATGTTATGTGAACCACGCTCTGCTACCACCTGAACCGCACCCTCGAAGAGCGGCCCACCAAAAAAAAAAAAAACAAACAAAGTGAGAACCATGGATGGAGGTTCAAGAACAACACGCCATTTGAGAGAAACGAGCTGTAATTAACAATTTAAAAACAGAATGACAATAATTCACAACAATACATTAATTAATTACTCTCAGAAAACAGCATGATTTCTTTACCCACCTAGCCTACTAACTTACAGTCATTTCTTTAGTCATCAAATAGCCTACAGCAGAAAAAATTTAATAAAAATTTAACCTTCAAATAAATTAACAAATTATAACAATAGATGAATATATTTCTTCTTAATATGCATTTTGAACTTGGTAACAATTATTTAGGGGCCCCAAAAATTGAATTCAATTGAATAGGGTAATTAATAAATTATAAAAATTTAAAATGTCAACAAGTCATTACTTACTAGTAGTCATTAGTACTTCAGACCAATATCGTTGCTCGGTGCAGTTTCTAAAGTTCTCGAAAAGTGTGTTAAGTTACAGTTATCCCATTATCTTGAAAATGAAAATGTGATTTCCAGTTCACAATACGGCTTTAGGGCAAACAAAAGCACGACGCATGCATTATTTGACATCAACAAATTTATTTCTTGCAAAATTAATTTAAAACAACGAGTGCTAGTAACATTTTTAGATCTAGCGAAGGCTTTTGATTCAATTGATAGACAAAAGCTAATCTCAAAATTAGAGTTTGCTGGGTTGGACAAGTTGTCAATTGACTGGTTCAAAAGCTATTTAGAAGACCATCATCAAGTCGTATCCATCAATGGCATTTTAAGTGAGAAAACTAATATCGAATATGGTGTGGTCCAGGGTAGTAATCTTGGACCTTTGTTGTTGACCTGGCTGCTCCAGGCTAGACACAGCGGGGGGTTTAGCCTGCCTGCATCGAACCCTTTTTCTGGGCACCCAATCTGAAAGCCTACATCACCGACAAGGTTCGAGCCTGCGTCAAGTGTCAAAGATGAAAGCAGGCACCAAACACAAAAGTAGGGAAGCTTGCATCAGAAGTAATTACTCAACCTTGGGAGAAAATTTTCATCGATCACATTGGCCCTCTGCCACTTTCTCTCAATAGGAACCAATATATTCTCACGGTAGTAGACTCTTTTTCCAAGCTTGCCCCCATGATTCCTGTTCGAAATACCAAATCAGAAACCACAGCTTCAGTTCTTACCAAACAGGTTTTTTCAATCTTTGGCCCACCAAAATTCTTAGTTTCCGACAACGTGTCCACATTCAAGTCAGTAACGATCAAGAACCTTTGCATGGGATTAGGCATCCAACACATCTACACCAGTCCGTACTACCCCAACCCTTCCCACGCCGAAAGGGTCAACAAGCAAATTAAAATAGCCATCCGAATTTTCCACCATGAACACCAAAAACGCTGGGATCAGGAATTACACTGGTTCCAGTTAGCCTTCAACTCTGCCCGTCACGACTCCACCAAAACTTCCCCAGTCTGATCTAGAGCAGTATTTGCACTTCAATGAAAACAACTGCCTCGTCATCGGTGGTGGCAAACAGCCAGAAGATAGCGGAATAGAATTTGACAACGCTTCTGGGCCCGTGAGGAGGAACATGAAGCAGTGCACATCAGCCTTGACGGAGTGGATTTTACTACTCTTGGCCACCCCTGGATCATGGCCCCCCTCTTCCGTCATGCTTGTTTCCCCCTCCGGTGCTGCTCGCCCAGAACCATGAACTGAATGCGCAAATTTCCCCGGCCCGTTTATTCCTTGGTAGAAACATCTCTCATCCTTTAGAGCTCCACTGGAATCTGGACAGGCTAATCGACGACCAGGCTTCCCCACAGTCTTCAAATGAAGAGTGGGGAAGAGCCGTCGAGAACCTCATCAGAGCTAGACAGCTTAGGCAGCAGAAATACGATCTGGACACAACCACAGCAACCACTATAAGATATTACAGAGTTCAACCACTTGGCACCTTGACACTTGGGGTTTCCACTTATGGGTTTCTAGTCGAACTTACTTGTGTGAACCTGGCAATAGCTCGGCAATAAGCCGAGTGCAAGCAAGTAAGTAATTAGAGAGTGTATCGATTAGTTCACTGTTTTCTAATTGTTTCTCTTAAAAAGTTGATGTAAAGTGTCATCCCGTTTTGTTACAAAATGGAAGACGATTCTGATGTAAGAAAGCCTAAGTTTGAATGAAGTTTCTGAAGGACAGATTATTAGCAACAAAAGTAATTCAAATAGACGCCTAAAACATGTTCAGAGTTTGGGTAAGTTAGGCCTGTTAAATATTGCTCAAAAATAGGCTACATTGCCCTTCGACCTGTTTTGATAGAAGATTTAGGTTTGCCATGGACTCTGACCTAAGGGAGCATCTAAAATTATACCACCGTATCAATGTAGCCTGTCAAAAACTTACACTTGACACAATTCTTGCATTGATCAAGTGACATTGTAGCAGGAACAAATTACATTCTCCAGAAATGCCCAAAGTGAAAAGGCGGCTCAACAATTGTTGTTTCATCTAACAGTTGGTCAGTAACTCGTGTATTGATCAAGTTACATTGTGGCAGGAACAAATTACATTCTCCAGAATTGCCCAAAGGGAAAAGGCAGCTCTACAATTGTTACGACAAACAGTTGGTCGGTAAGTCTTGTAATGATCAAGTAACATTTTGGCAGAAACAAATAACATTCTCCAGATTTGCCAAAAGTGAAAAGGCGACTCTACAATTGTTGTTTCATCTAACAGTTGGTCAGTAAGTCGTGTATTGATCAAGTTACATTGTGGCAGGAACAAATTACATTCCCCAGAATTGCCCAGAGTGAAAAGGCAGCTCTACAATTGTTGTTACAACTAAAAGTTGGTCAGTAATTCTTGTATTGATCAAGTTACATTGTAGCAGGAACAAATTACATTCTCCAGATTTGCCAAAAGTGAAAAGGCGACTCTACAATTGTTGTTTCATCTAACAGTTGGTCAGTAAGTCGTGTATTGATAAAGTTACATTGTGGCAGGAACAAATTACATTCTCTAGATTTACTCAAAGTGAAAAGGCGGCTCTACAATAGTTGTTACAACTAACACTCGGACAGTAACTCGTGTAATGATCAGGTGACATTGTAGCAGGAACAAATTACATTCTCTAGATTTACCCAAAGTGAAAAGGCGGCTCTACAATTGTTGTTATAACTAACAGTTGGTCAGTAATTCTCGTATTGATCAAGTGAGATTGTAGCAGGAACAAATTACATTCCCTTAGATTTGCCAAAAGTGAAAAGGCGGCTCTACAATTGTTGTTATAACTAACAGTTGGTCAGTAATTCTCGTATTGATCAAGTGAGATTGTAGCAGGAACAAATTACATTCTCTAGATTTACCCAAAGTGAAAAGGCGGCTATACAATTGTTGTTACAACTAACAGTTGGACAGTAACTCGTGTAATGATCAGGTGACATTGTAGCAGGAACAAATTACATTCTCCAGATTTGCCAAAAGTGAAAAGGCGGCTCTACAATTGTTGTTATAACTAACAGTTGGTCAGTAATTCTCGTATTGATCAAGTGATATTGTAGCAGGAACAAATTACATTCTCTAGATTTACCCAAAGTGAAAAGGCGGCTATACAATTGTTGTTACAACTAACAGTTGGACAGTAACTCGTGTAATGATCAGGTGACATTGTAGCAGGAACAAATTACATTCTCCAGATTTGCCAAAAGTGAAAAGGCGGCTCTACAATTGTTGTTATAACTAACAGTTGGTCAGTAATTCTCGTATTGATCAAGTGAGATTGTAGCAGGAACAAATTACGTTCTCCAGATTTGCCAAAAGTGAAAAGGCGGCTCTACAATTGTTGTTACAACTAACAGTTGGTCAGTAACTCTTGTATTGCAAGTGAGATTGTAGCAGGAACAAATTACATTCTCCAGATTTGCCAAAAGTGAAAAGGCAGTGAAAATGTATGTATTATTATTATTATTATTGTTGTTGTTATTATTATTATTATATTATTTATCATTATTATTATCATTGTTATAGCCACTTAGCTGAGTTTGTGTGAATGATAACTTACGTGTGCCGTCGATCGGCTCGAATGATGTCAGCCCTGACGAGCCCAGTCAGAGGTTGGGTGGCCTCGAAGGGTCGTTTGAGACTATAATGAAACATCCCTATGTAAGAGATGTAATTTTTAAACACTATTGCAAACCTTTTAAAAATGCATTTTTTTAATTTTCAAAACTGATTTATGAACATCTTCAATAGCCAATGAATATAGGTTTCTTCTATCCTCCAATTCTTGCTGGTTAACCCGAAGAAATACGTACATTTGTAAATATATATATATATATATATATATCAATTATAAGATGTTTTATATGGAAATCCACTAAAGACTAAAATCGGGTTTTGCTATAATATTATAAACATTAGCTCTATTCAGAATTCCAATCTATAGTAGTGGAGTGTCGCTGTAACTCACGCCAAGTATAGTGGGTTAATCATAATCATCCCTTGTCTGTCTTGGGATTCTATGGCATGTGTTATTTTTCAGAACAAATGTGTCTGCAAAGTCTGTTCGGCCACTTTCAAAAGAAGTTCAGAATACAACCGCCACAAAAAGTCGTGTGGAAATCCACCGGAAATAATCTGTAACGACTGTGGAAGAACTTCAAACGGCGGGACGCCATGCTAAGGCATGTCAGGACGAAACATGGGCAATCGGTTAAAAGGGTCGAATGCCCCTTCTGCATTTCTAAAGAGGTGTTAGACCATGGAAGATTTCACCGGAAGCAGTTTGATGAGGAGGAGGAGGGTCAAGACCAAGAGGGAGATTACACATGGTAGATCTGTACTCAACGTGTGACCCCTGGTTGGAGGAATTGGATCAGGCGATAGGTGATTTCGCAGAAATCTCTTTTGAACCTTCATCAGATTTTGTCCATCTTAACACAAAAAATTATATATTTAAAAACGTTCTCAAATTTTACTCAAACTTAACCAACACTAAGTTTGATGACTTAGTCAAAACATGGCAACAAGGACATTTTACACACCCTGTTCAAACTGACAGTTTCAATTGTGGTTTACTCATTTTGTATTTCATAGACAATTAAAAACAAATGGTTTGATGGATTTGAAGTTTGATGCAGATCGACATAGAATATAGTTATTCAAAAAGCTCCTTAGCTGTTTGGGCTATATGGTAAATACATGTGTAGCCTGGGGCCGTTGGGTGGGGTGATTATGGGGGTTAATGGTATGGTATGGAGGAGGGAATTCGGGTAATCAGGAGGGATAAACAGGGTAATGCTAATAGGTTAGGAATAGGTATGTCTGGACCAAACTTAATTTAAGCGTGATGAATCTGCTACCAATAAAATTAGGAAGATTGCTGGGGACCAGAGAGGAGAGACCTTTTACCCAGATCAGAACACCTGACAAGCCAGCTTTGATTTACTCTAATTGAACTAACTATTTAACTGTGAACCTATCCTTCCAACTATGAACTGAACATGGATAATTTCTTACTAATATTGATGACTTAATGAATGATATGTAAATTGAATACTGAATGTTAAATATGTATGAATTGATTGATAACCATTAAGTTACATTCTGGGAACATGAGGTTTAGTTTTCTGGTTTGGAATGGTTGGTTGCAGAGGGCAAAAACCGGCTAAGTTGTAAATTCCTACATCTCTATGGTCGGGCGAGCCAGAAGGGCTTCCCGCTTGATACCTGACTTAGCCAAGCATAATTTGAACTTATATTCCTTCATATTAACTACAGATAACTTATCCATTTATGACGGGAGATACGGTCGGAGTTTTTCGGGTTGTTTTCAGTGTGGAGGTTGGTTCAGCAAGAAGGAGGAGAGGAGTCGATGTAGGTGGTTAGGTGAGGAGAGACGTTGATGCAATCGTGGCAGGCAACGAGTTTAACATGCAGCCCGGCTTCGCAAAATGCACACACTATAAAAAATATAGCGTGCCGCTATGCGTCACACATGTTACATTTGCAAAGGACAATTTCTTGACTTGCCAAGAAACCAAAATGACTTTTGTGTTGAATTTACTGCTATTAAAACGTGGTTTCACACTAGTAAGAAAGGTGGTGGAAGTTGCTTAACACCTGATGTGCCATGTTCTACTAAAGTGTTAGGACTCAATTTACATTTAAATGAAACTGTGATTATCATTGTTACATTTTATTAAAAGCCTAAAAACATATAAGAACACTGTTAAATTATTACACATATTAACTGAAAAAAAAAATCTCAATGTTTTACATCTAATATTGGCCTAAAGTCAAAATGACACATCGGTTCAACTACGGCGGGGTAAGAAGAAGCTATAATCTAAGAAGAAGCCGAACACAATCGGAGGCTGCAATAAAAAAAATAGTTGTCAATGTAGCATATAATGAAAAGCATAAAAAAATGATAAACCATTGTTGAAACTTTGTGAGCTTGTTAAAATGACCCAGTGGTAAAATTATGGAGAAGTAAGGAGCAGCTATAAGGGGAGGACGAGGGTGCAATATAAACAATACTATTATTGTAACTATAACATATAATCGTAAGCATAACATAAACCATTACAAGCATCGTATAGGCATGCAATTTTATCATCGCATGTAGACTTCTATTTAACATAGTCAATAAAAATAATCAAAATGAACCGCGACAGTTTTAAAATATAATTATTTTATACAAAATTAGTAGCATAAGAAGGAGCACGCGCAACTTCTACCTCATATAGAAACCATCATAATACAATTTTATTATCACATGTATAGACTTGTAAACAAACCACAAACCACAGACCCTTACGCACCATTGGCATTCTGAATGTAAACAAACATCACAGCTTTCGTCATTTGGTATTCATGGGCGTTTCAACTTTTTCCCCACTTATTATTGGTCACATATTTCTACATTGACGTATTTGATCCCCCTCCTGGAATAATTTCAGTTGTACGTTAGTTGTCAACGTAAGGAGTTGTAGTTGTTATTTTGTTGCAATGTGTTTTTAGTTGTTGAGTTTCGTTTTGTTAGCGTTTTATTTATTTATTTTATCAATTAAAGTGTTTTGTTTGTGATTATGAATAACATTTTTAGTGAACGGGGAAAAACCTTGATAGTGTTGGACGGATATACTTATAGACATATAGTTACGTTAAAGATCACTTATTGTTTTATAACAACTTATTTTATTTTATTTATACTTGCCAAGCTCTTTGTTTTTTTTTTATATTTATTTAAAGTTTCATTTACGTGCAAAGTTAAGAAAATTTTTATAATGTTCTTAAGTCAGGAAACATTGTTGAAATTAGTCAGGGACACTCACATTTATTTTGGGGGGTGGTTTGTTATGTTGAAATAAAATAGTTGCTGCAGAGATTAACCAAAGTTCTGAATAGATGGTAACATGTAATATGTAATTGTTATTACCTTTTTTATTATTTCATTAAAAGCTGGAAGTACATGGAATTTTATTTCTTACTAGGTATTGTTTTAGCAGACGTGCAAAGTTAAGAAAATTTTTATAATGTTCTTAAGTCAGGAAACATTGTTGAAATTAGTCAGGGACACTCACATTTATTTTGGGGGGTGGTTTGTTATGTTGAAATAAAATAGTTGCTGCAGAGATTAACCAAAGTTCTGAATAGATGGTAACATGTAATATGTAATTGTTATTACCTTTTTTATTATTTCATTAAAAGCTGGAAGTACATGGAATTTTATTTCTTACTAGGTATTGTTTTAGCAGAAATTAGACATAAGACCTGTGGCTATGGAGATGGCAGAGGGCATATTAACTAATGAAAGTTTTTGACTAGAAAAATAATTATCTATATATATAAAATCAGATAAAATGTATGTATGTTTGTTTGTTTGTCCTTAATGGACTTCGAAACCTAGGTATTGTTTTAGCAGAAATTAGTCATAAGACCTGTGGCTATGGAGATGGCGGAGGGCATATTAACTAATGAAAGTTTTTGACTAGAAAAACAATTATCTATATATATAAAATCAGATAAAATGTATGTATGTTTGTTTGTTTGTCCTTAATGGACTTCGAAACCACTCGACAGATTGTAATGAAACTTTCAGGCATTATTAACAACCGGCTTAAACGTTCATAATCTGTAATACTAGTTGATAATTTTTGCCTTGGTAGCCGAGTGGCTATAGAGCTCACCTTCAAATCTGGAAATTTATGGTTTGACCCATAGCTGGGGTAACAGCCCTTACAAAAAGAGTGAAAGATTCCAACGGTGTGAGGGAAAAAGTATGAGAATGCATTACAGTGACACCATATCACCTGGATGTCTATAGGGTAGTAGAAGTCCCAGCTGTCGCTAGGCAGGGGAGGTCTGCGCAGAGGAGGCGGGGGAGGATGCCCCACTTCCACAGCTGACCCTCGCCTCTCTAGATACGACGTGTCAGCACTAGAACATGTGATGGAGCTAAGCCGCCGAGACGCTCTTCTAGACGGCACCTGCAGGAAGTTGACTGGGTAGTCATCGTCTTCCTCCTCCTCTTCTTCCTCCTGAGAAATAGTGTTAGTCTTGTAATCGGCGTTCACATTTTAGAGTTGATTATTTTAAAAGCTGCTTTGTTTTACTAGTAGCCCTTTTGTAAAAAAACATCGCTCTCATATATGTTGTTTGATTCTGTGTCTATAATAGTCAAAATAGTTAGTGGTGAGCTAGGTTTAAATTTACAATTTATAATTATTTATGTTTCAAGTTTCAAACGCTTAGGGTCTAAACGTTTCTCACGCATTACACACTCTAGTGTCTTTTATCAGAGAGTAAGAATGTACGTTTGATTGACTATGTAGTACATACAGCCCATAAAAATATTTTTGCTGAGAAACGTTAGTGTTTAAATTACATGGACATTTTGTCTGAGACTTACTTTGGAAAAATCACTGCTGATTTTACATGTGAAGGAACAAGTGCTAACCTTTTGAATTCCAACTAATCTTAAGGGGCATGTATCTGATGTACCCAGCAAAAATCTTACTTCAGTAGTGATGATTTATTTAAATGAAACTGCATTTTTAGTAAAATTAAAATTTGATTGACAGTTTTAAAATCAAAGGGGCAATCTTTTTCTCCTGGTTATAAGAAACTAATATCAACATTCACAACAATAACTCAAGATAGAGAAATGCCATTTAATATTACATCTCTCAATATTCTAGTATTTAGGTGATTCAAAAGTTAGGTGTGATGACAGCCTAGTGGTTGTTAGCGTCTCAAACTTAGGAGCGAGAGGGATGAGTTTGATCCCAGCATATCCAACTAAAGAGGGCTTGGAGCGGTTTCCCTCAAAACAGCTTGTGGTTCTTTTTATAAAAGCCATTAATGTATACACTGTTAACAAAAGACGTACCTCGGGGTAAGGCCGCTTGAGCGGGGGTGAGGTGAGCGTGAGCCGAGGAGATGGCACAAACGCTGGCATTTTATGTTCCACAACCGGCACACTGACCCTGGCTCGCTGTCCGTAGTTGCACAGTCTCATGGGAGTGTTGAGCATGTTGTGACCTCCCAGAGACGAAAACCGAGGGAACGGTCGTCCGATGGGAGCACTCATGTTGCCTAGCGACCGCCGCGGGCCGTACAAGTTGAGTGCGTTGAGAGCCAGCTGCTCCTCCTCTTCTATGGCAGCAGCCGCGACTGCTGCCTCTAGATGCTCGTCACTGAGCGACCGAGATTTGCACTTGCTCTTGTAGACAACCAGCAAAACCATCAAACCGAAGAATCCGCCCAGAGTGGCTGCGATGCGGACCTGCGCAAATATACCAAACACCATGCAATTCCATTCATTTGGGTACTGAAGTGGACATCTTATATTTTTATGTAATTATTTTTTTTTTAGATTTTCCCAGTAATGTGAGTTTTATAGTAAGGTTTATAAGTGTATCTCTAAAAATGTCTCTTTTACTGTAGCATTTGGAGTAGCCTATGTTTAACCTACGAAGATGATAACAACTTCATCATTGCAATGAGATAACTGCTCCAAAACAGCTTCACACAACTGCTGAATGATACTCTGCTTATCATTGGTCAAAGATATTATTAAAAATGTATGCTTCAAAGGAAGACGATGTACAAATCTCTTTTAACTAGCATTTGTTTCAATGTTCTTGATAATTTGGCACAAAAAATGTGTTTATAAAGTCAAAATGGGTCGTCTCTTCTCAAAATTTGATCCGTTGAAGACAAACTACAACTGAACTTGAACGTTGAACATTTATTTGAAATATGTACTCACCCCTGTCATAACGTCATAGGTCTTGTAGAATTCAATCCTGATCTGCTCACGGGGAGAAACAGTAGAGAGCGAAGTTGGTGGTGTCGAGGTGGCCGGCGGAGCAACACTGGGGCTGGCCACGGACACCTCCGCCATCGGCCGCCCTCTGTAACATACAACACACATAATCAGAACATGTTAGAGAGTCTATGTAGAACACTAGTGCTAACCATAGTCATTTCCACCATCGGACACACATCATCAGAACATGTTAGATGTGTGCTTAGGTAAAGCAACACTAGGGCTGGCCATGGTAACTTCAGCCATCGGCCGCCCTCTGTAACATACAACACACATCATCAGAACATGTTAGAGCGTCTAGGTAGAACACTAGTGCTAACCATAGTCACTTCCACCATCGGACACACATCATCAGAACATGTTACTTGGGTCCAGGTAGAGCAACACTGGGGCTAGCCACGGGCACCTCCGTCATTGGCTGCCCTTTGCAACATACAACACACATCATCAGAACATGTTAGATACGTCCATGTAAAGCAATACTGGGGCTGGCCTTGGACAACCTGCACCATCGGCCGCCCTTTGTAACATAAAGCACACACCATCAAAACATGTTAGATGCGTCTAGGTAGAGCAATACTGGGAGTGGCCGTGGACAACCTGCACCATCGGCCGCCCTTTGTAACATAAAGCACACACCATCAAAACATGTTAGATGCGTCTAGTTAGAGCAATACTGGGGCTGGCCGTGGACAACCTCCACCATCGGCCACCCTTTATAACATAAACCACACATCATCAAAACATGTTAGATGCGTCTAGGTAGAGCAATACTGGGAGTGGCCGTGGACAACCTGCACCATCGGCCGCCCTTTGTAACATAAAGCACACACCATCAAAACATGTTAGATGCGTCTAGTTAGAGCAATACTGGGGCTGGCCGTGGACAACCTCCACCATCGGCCACCCTTTATAACATAAACCACACATCATCAAAACATGTTAGATGCGTCTAGGTAGAGCAATACTGGGGCTGGCCGTGGACAACCTCCACCATCGGCCACCCTTTATAACATAAACCACACATCATCAAAACATGTTAGATGCGTCTAGGTAGATCAATGCTGGGGCTGGCCACAGACTCTGCCGCCATTGGCCGCCCTTTGACCGTCCCAACATATAAAATCAGATAATCTAAATGGGTTATATTTCAAATAAGAAAATGTACTTATGCTATAAATTTGTACGTTTTCCGTTGTCTCCGAAGACTACTATTTTTGGTGAATCTTTTTGAAAAGCCCTATTTGATGAAGTTAGCCACCAACGGCTCATAAATGAGCCGCACTGCTTGTATGAACCAGCTGTATGTATATCGGCCTAAACAATCCATAAGACCGATGACTACTGATGTATTTTTACCCCCCAGATCGAAATAGATCTCCCATTAAGTCACCTCTAGAAACAACGCATAGGAACAATTCTCTCTGCATACCATGCGGATTGTGTAATCTCTACTCTTTCGTGTACACTCATTGTTAAATTAAGTTAAGAATAATGTCTGATGGAATATTATAGGACATTTACTTTCAAGTGATACACGCCTTATACACAGGCTTATACACGATCTACAATTATGAAATGGCCAGACTCAATTAGGAGACGTCGGCTCATTTGTAACGATTATCACATGCAATTAGTCAACAAGTAAAGTATACAAATTATTACGATTTTTTTGCTAATATAATACATTGTGAAAAAATATTCATCCTTTTTTTATAGTAGATTTCTAACATATTAGAATGATTTTTCTGAATGCCCAAACAACGGTAAGGAAGCTATGTTGGGAGTTGTAGTTGAGGAGGTTGTTACCTGATTCTTGCCACTCAAGAGGCACTCTGATAAGATTAACCGCGAGTCCACAGCTAACAATACCCCTAGACTCTATGTCGTTACACACTACATAGCCTCTTGACATATAATGGTCAGCTGGTTCTTATTTTCTCTTTCTCTACTAAGTGAAATAGTATTGCATCACTAGGGCGTAAAGTGACTATTTTCGTCACAAGCTTAAGTGACCCAGGCGAGGCCGAGGCCAGAAAATGAGCGGGAGTTGACAAACACTTTTTTCCGAGTGATGAACCACATTTTTCGTTGTATTGCACCGTAAGGCAAGTAGGTTACAAAATGAAAATACTTTTCATGTAAAGGTAAGCTTTCAAAATGATTTCTATCTTGTTTTCAACTTTTCTACTGTGAACAAGCAGCTGTTTAGTTAGGTAGTGAATAATTATGCTTATTAATACATAGAGGATACGCGTCCGGTAACCGGACGTGGATAAGGCGTACGGCAATGACGTCATGGGGTTGCGGGAGCCTGGAACGCCTTTACCACAACAATACAATGACCAGCCATCGGTGTTCGTGGTGTAGTGGATAAGGTGCTCGGCTGATATGCAAAAGGTCCAGGGTTCAAATCCCATTGATGACTTTAACTTTTTGTCGAAGAGTTTTGCATTGAATACCATTTATTCTTAACTGTACATCTTTTATTAGAATTTTTGGCATTAATAATTTTTTTTATAGAGAAAGAATTTCACCTTAATTCGATTTTTTCACTATCAGCAAGTTTGGTTGGTTAGGTTAGGTTATGACAGTAATTGCCGGACGTCTAATCCACGTCCGGTTACCGGACGCGTATCCTCTGCCTTATTAATAATTGTGTTTGAGTACATTGATATCGATATGTCATACTATATTTAAAATATCGCTGGGTTTCTTGAGTCGATCAGGCTTTCATTGCAATAAATTGTTTCGCCGTGTCCATCTGAATCGTAAGATAGATTCATTATGTAAATATTTATCTTAACATGAAAAGTACGGTATTTACGTTTTGTAACTTCATTGGTTTTAATTATGGTGCAATATAACAAACCATATAGTTCACCAAACATCAAAAAGTGTATTAAACTTAACATTTTCTCATCTTAAACTTGAGCTCGTGTCAAAAAGAGTCATTTTACGCCCTAGTGAAGAAATAAAATATTTGGAGGGAGAGGAGATTATTAGAATAAATGGTTTAAAGAACTTACTAGTCGTTAATTTTAGTTTAGAATTATTAATAAAACTTGATAAACTATTCATTAACCAGGAGAAATGGTAATACAAATTAGATTTCTCTCTATCTTCATGTAAAATTATTAGACAATTAACAGTAATTAAATACATTTTAAAATTTGGAAAACAACATAAAAACGTTTTTACCAGTAACCTGTTAGGCCTGCAGCAAACTATGATTCACTTAATCATATCTTCATCAAGCTCTGGTTGTAATACTCCATCAAGATTTTAATATTCAAACAACCAATTGAGTAAAACCAAAGTTGTCAGTTCTGAAGTGGTCGATAAGTTCAAGATGGTAGTAGGGTTGCTATAGGGGGGGGGGGGGGAAGGGGTCCCATCGAGCTGTAACTGAGAGCTGTTAATGATCTCACACTTTTGTAAAAGAGTAAACTTGACATACATCCAGATAATGTTACACCTTAAGTACATTGGAGAAAAGCGAGGTTAGATTTTTACATTTTACACTTTATTTTAACGTTTCTTCTGATATTTTATTTATTTAAAGGTGCCAAACTATACGTAGCATTTTTTGTTTCAGTATCCATCAAACTTTAACTATTTCATTAGGGCTTTTTGTCCAAAAAACGTACACAAATACAATGGTCAAGCAGAGGTACCGAATCGATAAATAAGTAATTGGTTCCAGCAAAGAAAGAATCTGATTTTAGTGAAGGCTATAAAACATTCACACATCTTTGTATTTCAATGTCTCAAGCGTCGCACGAAAATGAAAGAATCGAGTATACAATATTATTTTAATTACATCAGATCTAAACCTACGAGTCTATCTATCTATCTATCCAACGAAGTAGATATAATATGATGGTTTTACCTCACTTTCGGCGTTTTTGGACTCAGGACTTTTGAAATTTGTTGGCGAAAAAACACCCCAAATAGGTAAAATATGATGGTTTTACCCCATTTTTGGCGTTTTAGAGGCTATATGGGGGCATTTTTTGGTGAAAAAATGTTATTAATACTGAAAAAACAAGCCTGGAAAATGGCTCATTTTTTTGGCCACTTTTTTAAAGACCCGGCTCTCGGCACGCGAACTCGGGCGTGCTCCTAACCCATAGGCACACTTCCGATCCCCAGCGATGACAAACTAAAAGTCTTATGAAAAAATGTTTGAAACAAAAATTGAGTAACATCTAATCATCTATACTTTTCCCACTAACAGTTTTTCTCTGACCGAAAAATAAAAAAAATACTCGCTTACTTACTTTTTCATGTTTAGTTAGAGTAACCTTTTTATATTTTCCTTAATTAATAATTACACACTAGCACAAATTAAATTATATTTATATTGTATTAAACAGTAGTTCATGTAGAATTTTAATATATAAATTTCATGCTATAAATATTTTTATTAGAAGCTAGACCAATGTGTAAGTGATAGGAGGCGCATTACTTTGAACATCATCACGCCCCCGACACTGCCGTGCTGGCAACACCTGGAGTTTGAAACCATTGCTATTGCTAAAATTATATTATAACACATTTACATACAAAAGAAACTGGTAAATGGTTTTAAATTTTTAAACTTTTTTATGCTGTATTATTATGTAGAAGGCCATGTAGTATGTAGGCTGGAATTTTAGTCGTGTTGTTGTATATCAAGCCTTTTTGTGATATAAATATTGTTAAACAATAAAGTAGACCTTTATTTACTAATGCTGATATTATATTACAATGCATTGGCATACAAATGAAAACGGTTTGATTTATTTGTACTCATATAAAATAATATAATTCTTTTGAGTTATAGGGACGTCTGGTGATTAAATCACAAATTTAGAACATTTATAATGGACTTTTAAAATAATAGAATTAAGTATAGACTTATAACATTTTCATGATAACTGTTTGATTTATTTGTACTCATTAAAAATAATGTTAAAATAGTATTTGATTTTTATGTTGTATTATTGTTTTTTATCAAAAGTTGAAACCAATGTAGTGTGCCTAAATGTTTATTTACTGTTTTTCTGTATCTCAAGCCAATAGATAGAATAGGACAAAGAGGTGTTTTTGGTGTTTTACCTATGAGAATAACATGGGGAGATTTTAAGCCACTTTTTAAAAATAGTGCTTACTCTCTATACATTTCTATGCAAATGTCCATCTCTAAAAA